TGCATTTATTCGAGTGATCCACAAACGACGAAAATTTATTTTTTGCCTATCCCTATCCCAATGAGCCGAAACCGAAGCTCTTATTTTTTGTTGAGTAATAGTTCGAGTAAGTCTTGAATGAGCCCCCCGAAAGCTTGATGCAAATAAACGAATTTTTGTTCTACGTCTCCGAGCGATATATCCCCGTCTAATTCTGGTCATTGAATAAATGAAACTTTAACGAATAACTAATAGATTTCCTTTCTTTCATTATTTTTTTGCCCCTTTCCTAGTATATTAATAACAAAACGRATTTTTCCAATGTATAAACTAAAAATTCCAATGGCTTTGGCTACTATAACCTTCCCAACCACGATTTTTTATTTTTTCTAGGCATTTCACCTCGAAATACAAAATTGTACTATACTAGGTATTAAAAATAAAAAAATAGCAATGATAACGAAATAGTGGATTTCATCATTTCTATGGTTACTTCTTAAAAGGTGAGGTCTTCTCTATACACCAGATCCTTTACTTTATTTAATCAATGTTATCGCTAACTTGTATAGATCACATTCTTCGGCTATACCCATGAATTATCCAGTAACAGGTCTTTTACAACGAGCTCTACCTATACAGTAACGGTATTTAATTATGAAAGTTGGCTGGGTAGCTGACCCTGTTAGTCCGTTCTTGCAAGAGRGGTCTATGTTAACTAATATTTCCTCCACTTAATGGATAACCATTTGCTACCATGGAGAATTGCTTCTCGTCTTGCATTGAGGTGAGTGGATTTACACCAATAGAAACCACAAATTTCATACACAATAAAAGAGATATGATCCATTTTCTTTTTTTAGATAGGAAATGTAGTTCATTTATTCGAACATTGTTCTCTTTCCTTTGTTCTAGTTCATGATCTGAACGAGTCGCACATACACCCTAGTACATGTTCCTTGACACTGAGGGCATCCCGAAGCGCGGGGGATTTTGTGACATTTCTAATTGGYTGTCTTGWATTTCTAATAAGTTGTTTAATAGTTGGCATGTTAAATCATATACATAATAGGCTGGTTTAGATCGATCCTAAGCGGATGATTATGAATTACTTTTGTTCAATAGAATAGTAAATAAAAGTCATAGAATATTAAACTCGGCAGGAGTAATTTCAAATCACGAATTGACGCGAAATCCAGGCTATTATCATTTAACAGCTATATGATCAACAATTCCATAACCTTGGGCCTCTGTTGCTGACATAAAAACATCTCTTTCCATGTCTTCGGATACAACCCATAAGGGTTTGCCCGTTCTTTGTACATAAACCCTTGTCAGGGTTTCACGAAGTTTCAGCAGTTCTCCCACTTCCAGGATGATATATCCCGTCGATACTTCAGAAAAAGAACCAGCATGTTGATGGATCATTACCCTGATGATAAGATAATAAAAGGTTTCTCTATTTCACATGATGAGGGAAAGATAAAAGAAGGATAAAAGAATAACAAGAAAAAAAGATAGAATCGAACAACCATACAGGCATCTTTTATGCATTGCATACGGCTTAACAATAAAATTGACCCTTACCTTCCATCAAAGAAAGAAAAAAATAGGATCGATCAGACCCCGATAGCTAAATGATCAACTTACCACCCTTCCTTTCGGAGGAATTCAAAAATAATGGCTCCATTGCTTTATATATTTATTATTTTTTTTCCTGTGATTTGTCTGTGATTCAGCAATCCCAAAGTTGCTTTTTTATTTGATCAAATAAAACAAGGAAAAAAGAATTTTGTTTTTTTCGCTCTATAAATATTGTTAAGAGACCTCTTGTATGAAAAAAAGTTTGTGACGCTGAACTGGACTTCCGATAATAAAATCGGACATACTTTTTTCTCATATTACTCTCTTGATACATAATCTAATGTTTCGAAAACAAAATTTCTTATATCGAATTCAAAGTGTCATGCTATTATTACTTAATATTCATATTTCATATGGCGAAGGCATAGTCTTTTTTTTCTCTCAAATAAAAGCCTCATTGGCGCCAAGCGTGAGGGAATGTTAGACGTTTGGTAATTTCTCGTTTGACCAGGATAAAAGATCTCATTGAAGCGGCTGATCCCATGCATATTGTATATACATCTGGTTGCACAAATTGCATAGTATCACAAAGAGACATCCCGGGTATTACCCATCCGCCAGGAGAGTTTATAAACAAATACAGATCTTGGGTATCATCCTCGATACTGAGATATATCATAAAACCAGTAAGTTGATTCGAGACCTCGCTCACAACCTCTTGATCTAAAAAAAGTAATCTTTCTCRATAAAGTCGGTTGATTAGGGTCAAATTGTATCCCTTCGGAACCGTACAGGYGCCTTTTGACGCATACGGTTCAAAAAAAAATCAATGTATAGTTTCCAATACTTTTTCTTTTTTCACAGCAAGTTCCTTCTAACTTATAATAAAAGGATTTTCTTCGATTTTTCACTAAACACGAGTTTGTCTTCCTTTCCTTAT